CCCATCTGTTCACATTCTCACTAATCCTAGTCTGGGGGGAAATTTCAGTCCACCTAACTTCTGGGGGTCCTTAACCATTTGCCGCCCGGCCAATGGCCGTTTCGTGGCGGCAAAAGTGCTTCTGCATTCCGGGTGCACGCCATTTGGCGTGCTCCCGCGCATGCTCAGTTCGCGCAACTGCAGAGTGGCGCAGCAGCGCGATCTGTCACCGGCCGTGTACCTCGGACACGGCCGATGACAGATCTGAGTACCGGCCCCCGTTGCCGGTACCATGTGACCTGCTGTGACCAATCACAGCAGGTCACATGACAGTTGTATACATGGATGGCTTCATTCATGCCATCCATTGTATACTGGTGCCTAGCTGTGAATGGTCACAGCAGGTCACATGCACATGTCATGTGATTAGCTGTGACCAAATCACAGCTAAGCACAAAAAAAAGCTGAATGAATCGATGTCATTCAGGTAAATGCTTGTTTATATAAAGTAATTCTTTGCTATAAGCAAATTGTGTAAAAAAAAAAAAAAAAAAAAATACTGATCACTTCCCCAAAGTAGTACAATGTTACTATGGTAACATAGCCGCTAGCAATAATATCATGAAAAGTGCTGGTTGCACCCAAGTCGTACAACAATCAAGTTGGGTACAATCAGCCTGCTCACAGATGGTTAGAATCCTGGCAGGTCCCTGCTGAACCGGTGGAGATTTGAACCATCTATGGCTGGCATTCCTCACATCGCACTGCGGCCACCTAAGTCCAGACAACCCTGCTAAATGGTTAGCACTTCCGCCTGGCAGTACTCGGGTCGTTGGTTCAAATCCCAGCCACGGCACCTCCTGCCTGGAGTTTGCATGTTCTCCCTGTGCCTGCGTGGGTTTCCTCCCACACTCCAAAGACATGCTGGTAGGTTAATTGGCTCCTGTCTACATTGTCCCTAGTCTGTGTATGTATGAAGGTAAGTTAGGGACCTTAGATTGTACGCTCCTCGGGGGCGGGGACTGATGTGAATGTACAATATATATGTAAAGCGCGCTGCGTAAATTGACGGCGCTATATAAGTACCTGCAATAAATAAATATCTCAGGCATGCCTTCTTGAGCATATAAGCCGCAGTTTGTCCTCATTGGGACCCCTTGACCTTGGGATCTCTTTCCCCTGGTCCCTTCTTATGTCTTCTTGGGCACTTCTGAAGAAGAGATGTTTGTTGATCTCGAAACGCGTGAAGTGCGACCCACGCAGGATCCATGATTGGCATTACAATACCATCTCTGGTGACACCGCCGCAATATGGATTGTAGATTTATATTTATTTTTGAAGATTGTAGAAATAAAATTTCATACTGTTTGTATCAAAAATCTCTTTTGAATTGTTGAAATGTATCATACAAGTAATATTGTGCTGTTAATGTCCAACCAAAAAAGAGGAAGTTCCCCCCTCCCCCCTTGTATTCGTTAGGGATGTTGGCATTTGTGTATTATATCCCTTCCTCTCTCCATAGATGGACTAACTGCATCGGATCATTTTGTGGTTTTATGTTCGTTGTGTCAGCCGGTGACAATGACAAATCTTAACCAACTGCAACCTCGCTTGGCCAACTTCTTGTGTAATTCTGTGTAATCCTGCAGCAGTTGTCACCATACGGCCCCCCCCTCGTCCTCCAGATTCAGATCCGATGACTAGACCTCAATGTATACTGACAGAGGTCACTTCCTCCAACACAAAGCAGAGGCTGGGTCAGCTCGGGAGGGGAAGGGATTTGGTGGACCTGCTTTTGGAGGAAGATTTATTGGTGAATGGATTCTACATTTGGTTCCTCATGCAGAAAATGTTATATACAAGAAAAGAAAGTCCCGTAGAAAGGAAAAAAGAAAATTATCGCAGGGCGGGCATGACTAGGCCTAGAGTGGGAAGGAAAATAGAAAGGGTTAATTATGTGCCAGGGGGTGTGGAAAAGTATAGCTGGGGGTGCTGGTTGGTAGAAGGAGAGCGTGGGTGGGCTCTGCCGCGCCTTAGGGTGGGGGTGTCCCGGTGGCGGGGGGGCATCAGTCGGAGCTGGACGTTGGTGAGTGAGCTTCCCTCCCGCCCTCCCTATTTTAGGGAGTATTGTGTTCCTCTCGCGGGGAAAGGGGGGTTATTTCGGTCTTGGGAGGTTGTTGGTCTTTGGAGGCGGTTCTTATCTTGGAGGTACAGGTAATGGTGTGGGACCCCATCGGTGGTATGGGGGGGCCCGGGACATTCCAGTTAACCGAGGTTTAACCGGAAGGTGGTGGTGCTGCACTGCGGACGGTATGGTTGTCTCCGAGCTGGTTGGTGGCGGCTGGAGGCCTTGTGTAATATGGTTGTCCGCAGGTGCATTTCAGATCATTTTTTGGGGGGGCCTTAGAAGACCAACAACAACAACTCTGTATGTTTCTGTTATAAGGAATGGTTGGTGTGTTAAAATGTTTGTTAATAAAAGGCCATGTTGGCCATTTACTCCAAAATTGGGGTCATGTTTTTCTTTAAGTATAGCCAAAAGGGGGGGGATTTGGATGACCTATCTCTGGTGCTCTAGTCATGAGACAGGAGTTTTCACCAATGTGACATTATCGGTCAGGCGGTTAGTGGAAATCATGATTAGAGGGGGTGGAGAAGGGTAACACCAGGAAAGCTTGGCTTGCTGACCAGGCTGGAGATCCAGGAGAATGTTAGAGAGGAGCCAGGCAGCAGAACCTACAGGAGAGGATTGGAAGCACCAAGACTCACTCTTCTCTCTCCATTGCCAGTATAAGCTTCTAGATTTTTTTTTTTTTTTTGTTGTAAGTCCGCAAACGTGCAAACTAGAACGTAAAAACCCGTAAGTGTTTCACAAAAAAGTGCAAGTGCAAAAAAACACCACACAAAAAGTGCACTTAGGGGTGTGCTTTGTCCTACCCCCGAAGGGGTTGGACCACTACCCTGATCCCCCGGGGCACGAAGCTCCTGACAGGGACAAGGTTCCCGTTTGGTCCTCCTGGCCAAAAGGCCTGGTGGACCACCTTTCCTTATGTCAAGCCGAAGCCGGACATCCAGTACTTGGTCGGGGGGCTCTCCCGAAGAGAAAACCCCCCAGGGACAGGGGAGGAAGGAACCAAAAGGCCACACATCCTCCCCCTAGACTTCAGGGCAGGCCCGAGGACCCACACCCTCCATCCTGTGAGAAAAACACACACATAAGTAAAAGTGACAAACGTGGGTTGAGAAAAAAATAAATAAATAAATAATTAAATAAATCTATAAAAATAATAAAAAAGTGTCGTGCCCAAATTGTGCACTGACCAGACCCTGAGGCCTGTAGCAAAAAACATTGCCCAGGACTTGGCCAAAAGGCCCGGTCCTAGAGGCGCAGTGCAAAAAGTGTTTTAAACTCGGTGACCATGTGCTCATTCACAACGTGGGGTCCCACACCCAAGTGCTACTCAGAGCACCCCTGAGGCGACTACTCAGGGGGCACTGTGTTTGCGGACTTTCTGCCTCCTCAGCCCCTGGCCAGACCAAGGTAGACCCATCCAAATCAGGAGGGTACTGGGTTTTTCCAGCTTTCCCAGAGGAATTACTCCCAAGGCCCCAGAACGAATCATGGCGCTCCCTGGTTTCTGTCCCTCCGGTACTAGCCTTCCGGGACCCCCATCATACCAGTGAGGGTACTATACAACAACCATCCCCGCAAAGCTAGAATGGCCGGGAGCGCCCCCACTGGACACTGATAAGAACAGATACTACACTTGATCTTAGCCAAAAGGCCGAGAAGCTTCTAGATGTTGGGGTTAAACTCTGAACAAAGTCTTTTTTCTGGATGAAGTGTGCAGGTCTGGATCACCCGTTGGATTTTAAATGCTGTACCCAGTTAGGGAGATTTGCCCTCAGTTCCTGTCCTGCGAGGAGGAATCTCCTCAGTATTGTCCTAGACATGTGCAAGCTTTCATTCCATTTCATTTCAGATGTATTAGTTAAATAAAGAATTTCATGTCATCATATTCATTATGTTGAACTGATTTATTTTCGGAATTCGCTTCGAATCTTCGGCATTTGTTTAGATTCCTTCGGAAGTGGTAGTTGTTATGGAGCGGGCGGCCGCTGCGTCCTTATCAACTCATCTGCTGCCAGCGGGGAATGCAAGCAAACGAGTCCCTCTTCCCCACAACCCTGGCCCAGTGGGGGTGCGGAGGTGACTTATCGGAATCTGGAAGCCAGGATTCTGCTCCCCCATGTGAACGAGTATGGGGAATCTCGCTGACAGTCGATGAGTCATGGTTGCTAAGGACGCAACGGCCGCCCGCTCCTTAACAATCGGCTAGTCACAATGAATCCAAAAGAAACAAATGCATTCATTTTGTGATAACTTTTTTGGGTTTTCTTGACATTTGTTACTATATCCATTTGGAAATGTGGATACATCCGAATATCCGAAAAAACAAAAAATTTTCATGCACAAAAAAAAAAAAAAAAACGAATGATAATGAAAGGAAATGTGCATGTTCAGTTCTGGCCTTGAAGTCCATCTAACAAAGGCTGTACGTCCAAAAGCAGATAACAGAAGAGGGTTCATTTTTCCTTTCTAAGGATCTGAATGTCTCTGACGAAGGTCCATATGATGGTCACAATGAGTCCTTGACAGATAAGTCCGGGATATGCAGCGTCTGACCGAGACGAAGGAAACTGCTTGTTTGAATATCACCAATAAGTTGACGACTATCCGTAGACTCCGGTACAAACACCAAATACGGGAGGGGGGGGGGGGGGGGGTTCATTTCTGAGGACCACCTCTGTTTTCTTCTCTGTTATCAGCTCCGACATTGCTGCAAAAAGCTTCTACAAGGTGGGGCAGGGGAGATGATATCAGCTATGTGTCAGTCTGTGGCCAGGCTACGTGACGTTGGATCCGTCCTTCTCACCCCGCTGAATATTGCAATCAAAGAAAAGTCTCCTCATTTCATGCCCAAGTTATCTATAGAAATGTCATTTGGTCAGGTTCCCCTCATTCTGGTGCCATGCGAGTTTTTGGCTCTTTGGCCGCCTCATTTTCCATGTTGATGTCTTCAGGATTTTCCAGCATCTCTCTATATTGGCGCCTGAAGAAGCCCAACTGGGAGGAGAACATATGGAGAACATTTGGTTAAAGAGAACCAGTCATTTTGTTACATACATTTAAAGTACAAAGCATACAGTATGTGTATTCTGGCGCAGTCCAATCCCGCTCTGCTGATATCAGGGCTGTCAGCCTGTTACTGGTTCCGGACTGAGAAGATCCAGACAGAGAACTCACTCATATAACGAGACTGGGCTGTGCGAGAGTAACGATACCTAACAAACCTCAAAAGGACAAATTCTGCTGTATAATACACCAAAACAATCATTCAAAATTGTGTCTCTGCCCCTCCCATAATTAGATTTCCCCCCAGTAGTTTATGTCTCTGCCCCTCCCACAATGGGGAGATTTCCTGCAGTAGTTTGTGTCTCTGCCACTCCCACAGTGAGGAGATTTCCTGCAGTAGTTTGTGTCTCTGCCCCTCCCACAATGGGGAGATTTCCCCCAGTAGTTTGTGTCTCTGCCCCTCCCACAATGGGGAGATTTCCTGCAGTGGTTTGTTCCTCTGCCCCTCCCACAATGGGGAGATTTCCCCCAGTAGTTTGTGCCTCTGCCCCTCCCACAATGGGGAGATTTCCCCCAGTAGTTCAGTAGTTTGTGTCTCTACCCCTCCCACAATGGGGAGATTTCCCCCAGTTGTTTGTGTCTCTGCCCCTCCCACAATGGGGAGATTTCCTGCAGTAGTTTGAGTCTCTGCTCCTCCCACAATGGGGAGATTTTCCCCCAGTAGTTTGTGTCTCTGCCCCTCCCACAATGGGGAGATTTCCTGCAGTAGTTTGTGTCTCTGCCACTCCCACAGTGAGGAGATTTCCCCCAGTAGTTTGTGTCTCTGCCCCTCCCACAATGGGGGAGATTCCCTCCAGTAGTTTGTGTCTCTGCCCCTCTCACAATGGGGAGATTTCCCCCAGTAGTTTGTGTCTCTGCCCCTCCCACAATGGGGAGATTTCCCCCAGTAGTTTGTGTCTCTGCCCCTCCCACAATGGGGAGATTTCCTGCAGTGGTTTGTTCCTCTGCCCCTCCCACAATGGGGAGATTTCCCCCCCTCTGCCCCTCCCACAATGGGGAGATTTCCCCCAGTAGTTTGTGTCTCTGCCCTCCCACAATGGGGAGATTTCCCTCCAGTAGTTTGTGTCTCTGCCCCTCCCACAATGGGGAGATTTCCCCCAGTAGTTGGTGTCTCTGCCCCTCCCACAAATGATGAGATTTCTGCAGTAGTTTGTGTCTCTGCCCCTCCCACAATGGGGAGATTTCCTGCAGTAGTTTGTGTCTCTGCCCCTCCCACAATGGGGAGATTTCCCCCAGTAGTTTGAGTCTCTGCCCCTCCCACAATGGGGAGATTTCCCCCAGTAGTTTGTGTTTCTGCCCCTCCCACAACGGGGAGATTTCCCCCAGTGGTTTGTGCCTCTGCCCCTCCCACAGTAGAAGGATTTTACCCCCCCCCAGTAGTTTGAGTCTCCCCAGGACTCCCCATTTTTTCCATTCATTATTTGCACTTTCAGGCCCATGGCGGGTGGCTGGATCTGGGAAGTCTGATGGGGAGTCAATATGAAGACACTGCACACGATTGAACCTCGCTGCACCACACAGAAGGGAAATGTGGAGTCCGGGTGGAGCAGCTCCAGCTCCGGAGATGGCTTGTTTTCTTGTTTGTGTTTTTTTGCTCGATTGCAAACATTTGGAATCATCACGTAGGAGGACAGGTTGTGGTTTGCAGTCCTTCCTCTTCTGGTCGGTCCCTGGAGACAGAGCAGCGGTCCTTCCTCTCTCTACGTCTAGTGGGCTCACTCCTCTGTAATCTAACAACGTCATGGTGAAGGAGACATTTCCACATTTCTCATGGATTCCACTGCCATGCCAAGGTTTTCAGCCTATCAAAGCCCAACAACAGTCAGAGCTTCCAGTGATGGATGGAGTGTAGAAAGCTCGGACCTCTGTTAGGTTTGTGTCTCCACTGAGGAGATTTCCTTTCACTTCTTGTTCCAGTGACACCAGGATGTGAAATCAATGGGGGACATTGGAAAGACACATCAGTGCTGTAAAGAAATTCCCTCATTCCAGAAACTCAGATGCACTTTCGATATGGATGTACTTCCGGTCAGCTTGGTGACAAAATAAGCGTGCCACTCTACACCCTACGTGTTTCGTCATCTACCACTCCACCCTATATTTTTGTCACGTACCACTCTACCCTACGTGTTTCATCACGTACCACTCTACCCTACGTGTTTGTCATGTACCACTCTACCCTACATGTTTCGCACATGTACCACTCACCCTATGTGTTTTGTCATGTACCACTCTACCCTACGTGTTTCATCACGTACCACTCTACCCTACGTGTTTCGTCATGTACCACTCTACCCTACGTGTTTTGTCATCTACCACTCCGCCCTACGTGTTTTGTCACGTACCACTCTACCGTACGTGTTTCGCCATGTAACACTCCACCCTACGTGTTTCGTCACGTACCACTGTACCACTGTACCTACGTCTTTTATCACGTACCACTCTACCCTACGTGTTTTGTCACATACCACTCTACCCTACGTGTTTTGCCATGTACCACTCTGCCCTACGTGTTTTGTCACGTACCACTCTACCCTACATGTTTCGCCATGTACCACTCCGCCATACGTGCTTCATTACGTACCATTCCACCTACGTGTTTCGCCACATACCACTCCACCCTATATATATTTCGTCACTTACCACTCTACTCTACATGTTTCGTCACGTACCACTCTACCCTACGTGTTTCGCCATGTACTACTCCGCCCTACGTGTCTCATCACGTACCACTCCACCCTACGTGTTTCATCACATACCACTCCACTCTACGTGTTTCATCATGTACCATTCCACTTTACGTGTTTTGTCACGTACCACTCCGCCCTATGTGTTTCATCACATACCACTCCACCATACATGTTTTGTCACGTACCACTCCGCCTACGTGTTTCATCACGTACCATTCCACTCTACGTGTTTCATCACGTACCATTCCACTTTACGTGTTTTGTCACGTACCACTCCGCCCTATGTGTTTCATCACATACCACTCCACCCTACATGTTTCGTCACGTACCACTCCGCCCTACATGCTTCATCACGTACCACTCCACCCTATGTGTTTTGTCACATATCACTCCACCCTACGTGTTTCATCACATATCACTTCACCATACGTATTTCATCACCTACCACTCCAACCTATGTATTTTGTCATATACCACTCCACCATAAGTGTTTCGTCACATACCACTGCACCCTACGTATTTTGTCACGTACCACTCCGCCCTACGTGTTTCGTCACGTACCACTTTGCCCTACGTTTTTTGTGTCCAAACACATAGAGTGGGGCAGTATATTGTGACGTCACCACGCTGACCAGAAGCACATCATATCGGAAGTGTGTCCCTGTGTCTCCAGAACGAGGAACTTCTGTACAGCACTGTTACCATATACAGTTTCGGAAGTTCTATTGCTATATGAAAATAAATTTTTTAATTGTTTTACACTATTAGAATTTCTGTCTCTTTTTCCTCTTTCTTTCCCCGATATGTCCATGATGGGATTGACTATTCACCAGGGTTGATGCATGATGGAGGAGTGCTTTAATCCCAAGCACAATGTGGCCACTCTTCAATAAGGGGGTCATCACCTTTGGGTAAGCTGCCATTTTTTACCATGGTGGTGCGGTGGATTGGCCCCTTGGGAGCAGTCTTTGGATGCTGAAGGCTGCACTGCACATTACTTTGGATCGTCTCTTTATTGGGACATCAAGCACTTGGTCACTCATTCGGGATTTTGCATATATTTTTTATAGATATATTGTTTGATGCATGATTTAACCGCTTGCCTGCCGCCCTTTAGTAGAAGTACTGCTACAGGGCGGCAGGGCTGTGCAAGATCACGTATATATACGTAATTTGCAATTCCGGGCAAGGGGCGCGGATGCACCACACTACCTGCACCGCCATTGGTGGCTAGGCATGTCAATCACCAGGTTCCGGCTGCAGATTCCCCGCTGGCACCCAGCAATCTTCGGGTAAAGCTGACAGGGGAGAGGTCTGTATTTAAACAACACAGGTCTCACTCCTGTCAGCAAGGACATGCTGCTTTATATCTCTCTGCACAGCATGTCTCCCTAGTAACACAGCACACAGTTAACCCTTTGATGGCCCCAGATGTTAACCCCTTCCTGCCCAGTGCCATTAGTACAGTGCAGGGGCGGACTGACAACTCATGGGGCCCCCGGGCAATAGGGGATCATGGGGCCCCAATATCCTCGTCCACACTTAAACCACACCCAAAAAAGCCTATGAAAGGTACCAGGGACATCTCATAACGCCCCCTACTGACCCCCCGGGCCCTCAGGCAGTGCCCCAATGGTCAGTCCGCACCTGGTACAGTGTCAGTGCTTTTTATTAGCACTGATCACTGTATTGGTGTCACTGCAGATGTCAGTGACACCAAGTTAGTCCCCCCCCCCCCAGTGTCAGAATGCTCGCCGCAGTCCCGCTATAAGTCTCTGATTGCCGCCATTACTAGTAAAAAAAAAAGAAAATCCCCGTATCTATCCCGCCATTTGTAGACGCTATAACGTTCACATAAACCAATTAGTTTACACGTATCGGGATTTGTTTTAGCGCAGACACGGAGCGGGAGACATTTTGGCCAAAAGTTATGAAGAAATTCGATTTTTTACATATTTTTTTCTGGTCATGTTTTATAGCAAAAAGTCCAAAACATTGATTTTTTTTTTTTAAATTGTCGTTTTTTTTTGTTTACAGTGCAAAAAAAAAAAACCGCACAGGCAATCAAATACCACCGAAAGAAAGCTCTATTTATGGGGAAAAAAGGACGTAACTTTCATTTGGGTGCAGCGTTGCATGACTGCGCAATTGTCAGTTAAAGTAATGCAGCGCCGTAAAGCAAAAAATGGCCTAATCAGGAAGGAAGGAGGGGGGGGGGGGGGTTATCCTCTGGAGGGGGAGGGGTTAATAATCACGATGGATGGTTGACCTGTTTATGTTATGAGTATTACACTTGTTTTTTTTGGCACTTTTGTTTTGAATGTCCTTTTTTAGGCTATATTGGTCCCCCTGGTGGCCATTATCAAGCACTGAAGTCTTTTCCTGAAGGCTCCTGTTAAATGTCCAACAATAATCAGGATTGCTCAACCCACACCACATTTCCCTTTACCTCCAGCCCCACAGGAACCCCGGAGATCAACCTCTACTGACTGCACTGCTGGAAATTCATACACAATAACAAGTCATAGGACAGACTCGAGATAGGAGGGGACCTCCAACATTTATGATTTGAGGCATTACCCAGGAGGTCTGGAGAACCCTATCTAGCAGATGTTCAAGTGTTGTTCTGGGGCATCAGAAGGCAGCAGGACTTTGGTCAACCCAAACCACATTTCCCTTTACCTCCAGCCTCACAGGAACTCAGAAGATCAACCTTTACTGACTGCACTGCGGGAACTCCTTCATACACAATGACAAGTCATGGGGTAGACAAGGGATAGGGAGGTCTCCAACGATTTGAGGACTTGTCCAGGAGGTATAAAGACCCCACACCTAGTAGGTGTTCAAGTGTTCAGGGCAGCAGGACTTTGGTCAACCCACATCACATTCCCCTTTACATCAAGCCCTACAAGAACTGCAGGGATCAGCATAGACAACCTGTAATATATGGATCTGGATGGTCACCAGCATTGCAATCCCGAGAGCTATGACCCCGAGAGCACCAAACTCACATATATAAAGGGACAGTTAGACAACCTGTAATATATGGATCTGGATGGTCACAGCATTGCAACCCTGAGAGCTCTGACCCGAGAGCACCAAACTCACATATATAAAGGGACAGTTAGACAACCTGTAATATATGGATCTGGATGGTCACCAGCATTGCAATCCCGAGAGCTATGACCCGAGAGCACCAAACTCACATATATAAAGGGACAGTTAGACAACCTGTAATATATGGATCTGGATGGTCACAAGCATTGCAACCCTGAGAGCTCTGACCCGAGAGCACCAAACTCACATATATAAAGGGACAGTTAGACAACCTGTAATATATGGATCTGGATGGTCACCAGCATTGCAATCCCGAGAGCTATGACCCGAGAGCACCAAACTCACATATATAAAGGGACAGTTAGACAACCTGTAATATATGGATCTGGATGGTCACCAGCATTGCAATCCCAAGAGCTATGACCCCGAGAGCACCAAACTCACATATACTGTATAAAGGGACAGTTAGGCAACCTGTAATATACGGATCTGGATAATGGTCTGAGAGAAAATGCTTTTGGCTCAGGGAGGAAATCTGTGTGAGACTGGACTACAGAGGACAAGATCTTCTGAAGACACAGAGCCACATATACACCAAAAGAGACAATGTCTATTAATTACGGTACATAGAGGTTGGTAGGTAGGGATGGATTGGGGTTGCAAAGGGAACAGAAGTGTTATAAAGACAAAGCAGGAGGCAGGAGAAGTATGGGCAGGCCATGGGAGGAGATACACAGGTGGCACCTGGGAAGTTGGAGACTGGAGGAGGATGGAGAGAGAAATGAAAATGGCAACACCCAGATGGAGACCGTGGTGGAACACCCAGAAGGAGGCTGTGGTGGAATACACAGGAGGCTGTGGTGGAACACCCAGAAGGAGGCCGTGGTGGAACACCCAGAAGGAGGCCGTGGTGGAACACCCAGAAGGAGGCCGTGGTGGAACACCCAGAAGGAGGCCGTGGTGGAACACCCAGAAGGAGGCCGTGGTGGAACACCCAGAAGGAGGCTGTGGTGGAACACCCAGAAGGAGGCCGTGGTGGAACACCCAGAAGGAAACTGTGGCCCTTTGCAGCCAGTGTATGGAATAATTCAGGTAAAAAAACAAGGTAATGTGAGATTTTCCCCACCTTTCACCACCCTCTACTGAACACTTACCTTGTATAATGCAGCTATGATGAGCGCCAGCGGAACCAAACCCCCCACACTGCTCCCGACTATTATAGGAAGGTAATTATACTCCCCGAGAACCTCCAGAACTGTCTGAGCCTGCAATAGATGAGAGCACAGTGATAAGGCAGGAAACAAGAGGATTCTGGGACTTCAGGTGCTGATGGTGGTGGTGGTGGTGGTGGTGGTGGTGGTGGGGATTTTAGACTGAATACCTAAACCTCCTGGACTTCAGAGTGGGAAATTACACCAAAGACCCAATTGTGTCAGATATCAGTCCCCAGATACGGAAGGAAACTCCGCTGAGCAGCTACAGAAGGATGAGCAGCCAATCCCGACACAGAGGACAGTGCAAAACTGTACTGCTAAATAGCTTTACAAAGCACATGTCCACCGATTGCCAACTCCTGAATTCCTGAGGTTTTGGTCTAGAAGAGGCAACAAACTTCCCTCCCCCAGGGGCAGCTAAACTTTCCTTCCTGAAGCCCCAAAGGGATTTGGACTAATACCCGCCGTATACTTCATCAGTCATAACCCTTTTACCATGACACCCTTGTGTAGCAGAGCACAGCTCACTTGTACCCAGGGCCAGGACAAGGGGTGGGCAGGAGGGGCAGCTGCCCTGGGCACTGTAGTATCATGGAAGGTGTTAAGGGGCAACAGGAGGAGATTGGGGTGAGGGGATTTTTGTTGGGAGGAGGAATTTGTGGGGGTGAGGAGTTATCGGGGTAAGAATGGTTCTAGGAGGAGAAGTTTGGGGAGGTGTGCTAGGAGTGGTGATTTGGGGGGATTTGGGGATTTGTGTTGGGAGGGGGGAACAGGATTTATGCTAGGAGGGGGGATTTGTGCTAGAAAAGGCAGTGTGGTAGAGGGGAAGGGATTTGTGCTAGAGGGGGAGATAATTTTTTTGGAGCATGGGGGGGGATCTGTGCCAGTAGGGATGATTAGGAGGCATTTGTGCTAGAATAATTGGGGGAGGGGTATTTGATCTGGGGGGATTTAGAGTGGGGGGGATTTGTGAATTTTTTGTTTTGTTGGGGGGAGAGAATGGATTTGAGCTGGGCGAGATGGGGGGGGGGTGGCAAAGAATGTCAGTAGAGGGGGGGCGGGTTTGTACTGGGAGAAGGGGGAATTTATGCTTAGCGGGTAAGTATGCAGGTTTGTGCTTGATTTTTTGGGGGGGATTTTTTCTCACACATAATGCTCATATATTTTTCGAGAGGAGGGGGGGGGTGCAATTTGACATTTTTACCCTGGGCACTGCTTTTACTGCAAAACCCCCTCCTGAACAGATGGTAAGAATCCTGAAGAGATGGTAATTCCCTTCATTCTTCGCATAGTCTTTGGGGTAAAAAGTCCACATAGTAGACCTTTCCAAAGGCCATTAATATTCTGGTATACTGGATTTATATACGAAGAATAGAAGGATGGATGGATGGGTGCATGGATGGATTGGTAGATGGATGGGGGGAGGACATATTCATACACAAATGGATGGATGACTAGATGGGTGGATGAATGTAAAGTGGATGGATGGTTCATACATGGATAGATTGATCTGTAACGCCCTCCAGGTTAGCTAGATAGGCTGTTTGTTTTTTTCTTTTTTTAGACAAGAGGCTGAGTAGCAGCCTGGGATGAGTCAGCCTGGGACTGAGGCAAGAGTTTACCTCAGGACAGGCTGGGAGGTTCTGAACGTCAGAGCTTCTGGAGCTCCCCCAACCTTCCAGAAATCTTGGCGCTTTCTGGAGGAGGGACCAAGAAGGGGAGGAGGCTCAGATCTGCATGCTTGAGGGACCTTGGTTGGGTATGGTGTCCAAGGCAACCCTTATGTATCGCAGAGCCTGGGTGGAAGGTAGCAGTGTCGGGTGAAAGATGGAGTGAGGAAAGCTGGAGTGTGGAGCTTGGAAGGGGGCCCAGGGAAGGGGGCCTACCTACAGGCAGCTTGCTGGAGAAGAGGATCTCCACTGTGCCACTGTCTCCTGGAGGGGACATCCTGAGCAGCAGGGAAGAAAAAAGCCCAGCAAAAGACCTGAAGGCAGCCACCAACCCACTAAGCTGACAGGAAAGGACAGCATGCGTATTCCTACACACCCTGGGCTGGATAAGGGGAGAGGGCGGTCAGGTGCAAGACCCAACTAGCTTCTCACCTGGGACTGCTTATGCTAAATTGTCAGCTTCTGGGCCCCCTTACCCAGGGAAAACCCTCAGTACAGCTGGGTGAAGAGCAGCAATCATCTATGGTCTGAGGAGGTACACTAGGAAGAGTCTTTGGGGCTCTTCGTGGAAAGACTGTTGCTATTCACATTTTTGTACAAAGTTGCTAAGGAGTTTGGCCACGTTCTACAGTGCCTCGGGCATCCCATATACCCCTAGACCACATCCAAGTTATTAACCCCTTAATACAATCACAAATCCAAGCTCTTGTGTGTTGCCTGGCTGTGTAGAGCTTAAGGGGGACCCAAAACTTAGCGACTCCTAAGGGGGCAGATGGATAGATAAAAGGAAGAATGGATGAAGGAGCACTGGTTCATATGGAGGGATGGATGGACGGATGGATGGACGGTACCTGGGCTCGGGTGAAGTGTTGGCTCTGATGGAAGGTCTGGGTGTCGTACACAATCTCTGCCCAGCTCTGTAGGGAGATTTTCATTTGTTCCGTCTGAAACATGAAGAGACAATGACACAGTGAAGGCTATAAAATCACAGAGCGGGGGTATTGTAGAGGAGTCAAAACAAACCCCCCACCCCCTCTGTACAAAGAGAATCTGGTTGTGTGGAGAGAGTGTACCTACCTGTGAGAATAGAGTATCCACTTGTGTGAAGACATTGTACTTACCTGTAAGTAGAGAAAGTGTCCACTTCTGTGTAAACAATGTACCTACCTCGGTGTGCAGAGTGTACCTACCTGTGAGAAAAGGGAGTATCCACTTGTGTGAAGACAGTGTACTTACCTGAATGTAGAGATAATATATCTACTTATGCATACAGAGTGTACTTACCTGAGTATAGAAAGAGTATCTGCTTGTGTGTAGAAAGTGTACCTACCTTGGTGTAGAAAGTCTACCTACTTTTATGTAGAAAGTGAACCTATAAGTGTGTAGAGTGTATCTACCTGTGTATAGAGATAACATTCACCTATCTGTGAGAGTACCTGCCTATCTTAGGAGAGTGTACCTACCTGTGTGTGGACAGTGTACCTACCTGTGTGGTCCAGTCCTCAGTCACAGTTCCATTGATAGTGAAGATCAGTGAACTCTGAGCCTCCAGCTCCCGGATCTGACACTCCGCTCTGACACACCAACCAACCGAGCAATTCTGAGGAGAGAGATGGAGTTCCACCATAAGTGAGATGGAGAGAGGAGTCCCTTCATGACACTGCGCTCATATCACTCTCCTCCTGTACTCTGTATGACAAGTTGGCCTTCTAAGAACTGAGACCTACTATTGAAGAAGATGAGTCTCCACCATGACTGACCAGGAATGTGGGGCCCCCTCCTGGTAGATCCTCCTAGACCAGGTCCATCTATAACCCCACCATGACACCCTACACTGGCATATCTTCCCTCCTCATTCCTTAGATTTTTGGCTGAGGACAAGTCTCTCTGTCTTTCTGTTTTAGCATCCTGATCCCTCGACAGATCAGACGTTATCTTGCAGCACCTTCTAGAGGCTTCTTTGGATAGGACAGTGTTAAAGCTTCAATATGTTATATGTTTGTATCCTATAGAGCTTACAGTATGTCTGCTGAGAGGAACGTCTGAAGATCCTGCCGTATTCATGAATGTTGGCTGAATAGGGGTAATAAATACATTTCTATGACCTTGGGTATTTAATAGGAATCTTATTTAGCAATGCCTACCTGATAATGACCAGCAACCACCAACCAGATTGTTACATTTTAGAGGGCATTTCCTAATGTGAGGTAAATGTTATTGGTGGTGATAGGGCAATGCAGTCAGTTCTTACTCAGGTCATGTAGATAAATGAAGATTAGAGGTCCTCTGGGTGCTAGTCTGTGCCTGACAGATAAGCGATGGCTTGTCTGCCTTTCGGTACAGGTTACAATATGGAAGATGATGCCTACCAAAACGGGACTTCTTCTCAGGAGCTCCTGGTAGTTCTCTGTTGGCGTCATCAGAGCCTTCGTGACACATTTGGTGATCTGTGGCTGGAAATGAAAGGAATGAGGTGAACATTCAGTGCTCCATCAATAATGTAAAGAGTTATCCAGTGTCAGAAGCTCCTTTGTTAACACATAAGATGGACAATTGGTTGGAGCCACCAGGACCAGGAGGCTTTACCTTGTAGGTGTATTTATAGCCAAGGGCCGGATGATTTTATATCAGTTGGTGGTGGATTTTACCATTATTAGGACAATAGTGACAGCACAGAGGTCCAACAGTCACCTGAGAGCTTGTGATATTTGTCCTTTCCCAGATAGATGTCTCGCCCAACCTCACCGGGAACAGAAAGACGACGGAGAGAGGAAGATGGCGCTGCCCCATATTCATGACCTGAAGAAGACACCTGTTATTACCTCCTGCTTTTGCCAAATCATCCTCCTGGCATAGAAGACTACATATCATAGGCCAATGGTTCTCGGCTAAGTGATGGAAGTACAGGAATAATGCATATCAGTACAGTTGGGTTCTTGTGAAGGCACATCTCAGAATGACTGCTGGGATACTGAGCTAGGACTACAGACAGAAGCCTCCAAAGATAACTTTCTTACCTTATAGACATGTTGTATTGAAGTGTCATGGCTGGTGAAGTTCTGGTATTTGCTGGATGTTTCAAGGCTGGAGGTAGAGGAGAAGACATGGTCTTCAGCATACAATGTGGACTTCCTTCACGTTTCTCACATTCCACCTTCCTAAATCTTTGCCTTTCCTTTGCTATATATGCTATGTGTGTTTTTTTTATTTTTCCATTGTTAATTTAATTATTTTTTTCTTTTGGATTATTTATCTGTATTACCCTATAATGAAAGAAAATCGATAAAGTCAGGAAATCCCAGTCATGTGTTCTGTAATATCTTCCTAGTTCTATTGCACAAAGCAAACAGGGAACAAATGTATGAAACCTGGATATATAATCATGGGTAGGTTCAGCTACATGACCGATAAAGGATACAGATCTCCAGAAGACATTTTTTTGGAGACATCCTTGGTTCTTATTTCCATACAGGACCATGCTGGAGAGATCTCCCCACTATAGTATAGTCCACGACAAGGTTCTCACGTTCCTTGACGTTCTCCCATCTTGCTGCTTCTTCATAACATAACTAAATAATCCAGCAGGCATGAGGGAACTACTTAAAACTCAGTATTGAAGAGAACTACACATGATGGGCACAGCCAGTGTACAGACCCGGGAACTCAGCACAGGGATTGTAGAAACCCCTGAAAGGATGGACAGATGGATGTATGGGAGAGTACTGGTTCATAGAAGGATGGATGTATGGATGTATGAGGGGTGCCACTTCATATTGGATGGATGTATGGGAGAGTACTGCTTCATGGAAGGATGGATGTATGGATGTATGAGGGGTACCACTTCATATTGGATGGATGTATGGGAGAGTACTGGTTCATAGAAGGATGGATGTATGGATGTATGAGGGGTGCCACTTCATATTGGATGGATGTATGGGAGAGTACTGCTTCATGGAAGGATGGATGTATGGATGTATGAGGGGTACCACTTCATATTGGATGGATGTATGGGAGAGTACTGCTTCATGGAAGGATGGATGTATGGATGTATGAGGGGTACCACTTCATATTGGATGGATGTATGTATGGGAGAGTACTGCTTCATGGAAGGATGGATGTATGGATGTATGAGGGGTACCACTTCATATTGGATGGATGTATGGGAGAGTACTGGTTCATAGAAGGATGGATGTATGGATGTATGAGGGGTACCACTTCATATTGGATGGATGTATGTATGGGAGAGTACTGGTTCATAGAAGGATGGATGTATGGATGTATGAGGGGTGCCACTTCATATTGGATGGATGTATGGGAGAGTACTGCTTCATGGAAGGATGGATGTATGGATGTATGAGGGGTACCACTTCATATTGGATGGATGTATGGGAGAGTACTGGTTCATAGAAGGATGGATGTATGGATGTATGAGGGGTGCCACTTCATATTGGATGGATGTATGGGAGAGTACTGCTTCATGGAAGGATGGATGTATGGATGTATGAGGGGTACCACTTCATATTGGATGGATGTATGGGAGAGTACTGCTTCATGGAAGGATGGATGTATGGATGTATGAGGGGTACCACTTCATATTGGATGGATGTATGGGAGAGTACTGGTTCATGGAAGGATGGATGTATGAGGGGTGCCACTTCATATTGGATGGATGTATGGGAGAGTACTGCTTCATGGAAGGATGGATGTATGGATGTATGAGGGGTGCCACTTCATATTGGATGGATGTATGGGAGAGTACTGGTTCATGGAAGGATGGAAGGATGGAAATATGGATGCATGAGGGGTGCCACTTCATATTGGATGGATGTATGGGAGAGTACTGCTTCATGGAAGGATGGATGTATGGATGTATGAGGGGTGCCACTTCATATTGGATGGATGTATGGGGAGAGTACTGGTTCATGGAAGGATGGAAGGATGGATGTATGGATGCATGAGGGGTGCCACTTCATATTGGATGGATGTATGGGAGAGTACTGGTTCATGGAAGGATGGATGTATGAGGGGTGCCACTTCATATTGGATGGATGGATGGGAGAGTACTGCTTCATGGAAGGATGGATGTATGAGGGGTGCCACTTCATATTGGATGAATGTATGGGAGAGTACTGGTTCATGGAAGGATGGATGTACGGATGTATGAGGGGTGCCACTTCATATTGGATGGATGCATGGGAGAGTACTGGTTCATGGTATCATGGAAGGATGGATGTATGAGGGGGTGCCACTTCATATTGGATGGATGTATGGGAGAGTACTGGTTCATGGAAGGATGGATGTACGGATGTATGAGGGGTGCCACTTCATATTGGATGGATGGATGGGAGAGTACTGGTTCATGGAAGGATGGAAGGATGGATGTATGGATGTATGAGGGTGCCACTTCATATTGGATGGGTGTATGGGAGAGTACTGGTTCATGGAAGGATGGATGTATGGATGTATGAGGGGGTACCACTTCATATTGGATGGATGTATGGGAGAGTACTGGTTCATGGAAGGATGGATGTATGAGGGCTGCCACTTCATATTGGATGGGTGTATGGGAGAGTACTGGTTCATGGAAGGATGGATGTATGGATGAAGTGTATGGGTATGGATTGGTGGATAATACATAGGGATGGTAGAAACTATTCAAGATGAGCACAACAGGTGTCACGACCCAGGAACTCAGCACAGGTATTGTAGAAACCCCTCATAATGGACACAGCGGGTGTACAGACCCAGTAACTTAGCACAGGGATAGTGGGAGCCCCTCATAATGGACACAGCGGGTGTACAGACCCAGTAACTTAGCACAGGGATGGTGGGAGCCCCTCATAATGGTCACAGCGTGTGTACAGACCTGGGAACTAAGCACAGGGATTGTGGGAACCCCCATAATTGGCACAGCAGGTGACCCTGGGAACTGAGC